AAATATTATATATAAAAAAAAACAACGTTTTCTTTTCTTTTCCCAGAGCACTTTGTACATTTGTCATATTTGGGTCATTGTACTATTGCCTTTGGCCTTGAAGTTGCCTTTTTTTATTAAGAGAAGACCTTTTATCTAACTCTCTTCCTTCCATCATATTTCCTATCCGGCAACCCTATTTTTTTAAATCATCTTAATATTTGAGTCACCTTATTGATGTTTATTTTATTTTCTTTTTGACATGTCAACAACAAAGAATAAACATTGAACAACTAAGAAAACAAACAAAAGCGAAACAACACAATTCAACATGCAAAGACCAAAATTCCATTTACACAATTCAACAACAAAAGAAAAACCACGCACAGGAACATTCAACTCAACAAAACTCAAAACGACACCACAAAAACCTTCCACACACAAGAATCTACAAAAAAAACAACAACATGCAACCAGCACACCAGGGACCAAGAAGACCGCCCAGATTCCCAATCTACCTCAACAATTCTTAATTTCATTTTTCTAGGTTCAATATTATAAAAAATTCAAAAAGTACCAGTCGAAGAACGAAAAAGTACTAAAAAGTCCCTTTTTATAAATTATAAATTACTTCGGGCTCTACATATTTATTTTCATGTTTCTAGGTTTAATTTTATGGAAAACTCAAAAAGTACCAGTCGAAGTACGATAAAGTTCCCATTTTATAGATTCTCATTTACTCCAGGCTCTAAGTGCTTAATTTCATGTTTCGTGGTTCAAATTTTGTAGCAAGCTCAAAAAGTACCAGTCAAAGAACGAAAAAGTACCAAAAAGTGCCATTTTATAGATTCTCATTTACTCCAGGCTCTACGTGCATAATTTCATGTTTCTGTGTTCAATTTAATAGAAAACTCAAAAAGTACCTTTTGAAGAACGAAAAAGTACCAAAAAGTCCACTTTTATAGATTCTCAAGTGCTTAATTACATGTTTCTAAGTTCTAAGTCAAAAAAGTACCAGTTGCAACATCGTATTGGGAGCCCGTTGTTTTGTATTCATATGTATAAGTTAATAAACCAAAAACAATGTTTTATAAAAAAGTACCAAAAATAGGTACAATTTTCACCCCTTAAACGTCCGAATATCCAAATTCATATTTTTATTTGTTCGTCAAGTTATGAAGGATTCAAAAATATTTTTTGAATGTTCTCTGGTTTAAAAGATACATGGGGTGCAAAAGAAGTACCAAATTACAGTTTCTACCCGTTTATTCCCCAAAGGAGCCGAATTTGAAAAAAGTACCAGACACCTGTCCGTTTATTTTTTAAATGAATGACGATAAGCTTTAAACTGTTTTTGTATCTTTTATAGTTTAGGAGATATGAGGTTACCGAATTTACCCGTTTTTACCTTTTTTAACCCCCTAATCATTTCCAAAAATCCCGTCTTAGTAGATCTATTTGGTGGGAGACCAACCTCCTGTCCAAATTTCAGCTCTTTAGCTAAAACCGTTTAGGCTGTGCGATGATGAATCAGTCAGTCAGTAACGTTAGAATTTTATATATGTACGTATGTATGTACATATGTATATAGATTTCGTGCATTGAATTATACTGTAAAAAGATTCTAATGTTCGACTTGAATTCAAGTTTCGTTTTCACTGGAGAATTCTATTGAATTAAAGTGTAATGAAAGTGAATTTCAACACTTGAAATTTGAATGTTTGACTGGAATTAAACTTGTTTTAAACTTTAATTCCAGCAAGAATGCTTATTTGGTATAGTGTGACAACTATAAGGGATCTAAAGTCGACTTAAAGCCCACAATGGTTAGTACCAAACAACATCTATATACCTAGCCAGGTTCTATCCTCTAGGTCCGTGAAGACATTCTCTACAAAGCTATAAATTTGTATAAAAGACGTCTTAACAATTGTTTCTTGTAAATATTCGGTCACCATAGTGTTTGGAGACAACAAGAGCTTCACTGAAAGGCACACCTGACAGACATCGCGCTCTATTATGGGTGTATGGTAGTGATTCTGCTAAGATCAATGGTATAATAATAAGTATGTATCTCAAGGATACCCCCTGAATACGGCAATCAGCTTCCTTCCATTGCCTCTAGGTGATAATATACCATGCCACCACTAGCCGACCGACCACCACCCACCTAGGCTACTAGGGAGGTATACAATTGCCACTCTCTTGTGGGCATTCTTCCAGGAGACCATCATGATGCCTCCTCTTTCTTGAAAAGAAAGACGTTCTTTATAGATAAATAAATAATTAATTAACACCATTACATACATTTTTTAATCTTCTAGATCTCACAAATATGCCAAATATAGATTTCGATAAACACTTTTGGGTATTAAACGAAAACAAACCCATATAATTATTAACAATTTAACTAAATTCAACCCAACACTTGCTGTTTCTTTGTACAATGACCCTCGGTATAGTAGTATAGCATACAATCTTATTAATTTTAATTTTTAGTAAAAAATTATTTTTTTATTTAAAGAATATCATTTCTGTCATTTTAGATTTTCGCACACACACAACAACAGATTTTTTTTGGCAAATAAAAAATGCAGAAAAAGTTTGGCGCGAAAAATTCTAGCAGAATTTCTTTTCGCAGTCGGCAGAATTGACATCAACTGCACTTCCCATTTGAAATACACATGTTCGATACCCTAGCCCTTTACGGTATGACATACCAGCAATGTAAAAAGGTGTAGCTGCGTTGACGTCAACGAAGCTGGTTTGAAGTCAAAGCAGCGACTCGAATTAGGCGCGAAAACACGAAAATATCTGAGGCGAAGCATATACATCGAACGTTGAACAAAGTTCTACACCGGCCAAATTTCAATGAGCGGCTTATTATTAAATAAAAGAAAACAAATTAATTTTATATTGTAAAATTCCACAAATTTAGCGAAAGTGTTCTGTAAATTGTACAAAATATGGCGAAATTTTCAAGCCGTATTAAGCTGAAAAATTTTCGGCGGCGGCGGCTTTGACATTTCGTTCGGCGGCTAGGCTTAGTCGGCTTAAGTCGAATCGGCGCAAGTCTCTGTTGTTTGCTCAATAAGATTCTGGACGAAACGTCCTGCGCCGACAAATATTAACGTCGGCAGCGAGTGACACTAAAAATGTCGGCGGCGGCTTTAAATCGACTGTAAGCCGGCTAAGTTTTCAACTACGTTTAGTTTTTAAATTTTCAACGATTTTAAATAAAAACGGAATCCGAGAGATCAGAAAGTGGGATTTTGGAAGCAAAACAGAGCAAGCACAAAAGTTGTGTGAGAAATTATGCAGGGATGGATAAAAAATTCTTAAAAATTAAAAACAAATTCTTTCTCCAAGTTTACGAGGATCGGCCTATATTTGACCCTGTTTCTAAAAAATTTTCAATTAAGAAAATTATCAATAACGTAAAAACAAAGATATTTTATTTATTTAACTAGTAACAAAAAGCCAATTTGGGCAAAATAATATTACATAGTCCTGTCTGTTAAAACCGAATCCGAGTAAATTTCTCTGTAAAACGTATTCGTATAATTTTTCTCGTTTTAAAACCGAGTACACAAATCTAGTGGAAAGTAAATCGAATGTAATTTTATTCTAATAAATTAAATAATTATTTTTCTGTGTGTAATTGTAACTTTATATAAATGCTATGGGCATTTTAAACTCTTTTTCATATAAAATATGTTTATTTTTCTAAATTCTACGTCCAAATAAAAATTCGATTTGAAGAACACCAAATTCGGTTTTAAAAGTTTCAATAAGTGTTTCAATTTGAAAACATTATTAGAGTGTGTGAAAACTCACAACTCTAAAGGCAGACTATTCCTATTTTGGTGGTAATTTCTTTATGATTAAAATAATTAACAAGTAAGAGTTATATTCGGCAAATCATGTGTCGCAAAAAAATTTGATTAGGAAATATTATCATGAATGAAACCAGAAATATTTTACAATGCCACTGGCAACACTGTCCTATATTTTTACTTTGGCTGCGGTTTGTCGGCAGAATTTTGCAAATACTTTTTATTTTGACATTCGTAATGTGCTTTGTTAAGTGCTGCCAAGTTGTGTAATTATCAATGTTAGCAGAGACCAGAGCCGATTGAAATTTACAATGACGGCGACTAACTGTAAAAATTTGTACGGTGGCTTTATATCGTTAAAAATAGGTACCTCAATTGTCAACAAGGTACAATCACTGACAAAATCAGGAAAGAAGGCGGAATTCGTAAATTTGTTTATATATAGAGTTTGACAGCGTCAAAAGATTTTATAAATAGAGTAGTCTAGCACTTCACCTTGTATAAATTCGTTTATCTCTATATAAAAGATTGCACTAATTTGTAAGCGCCATCTAACGGTTTATATATGTATTTAAAATTTTCGTTCTGTTAATAATATTGTTTACATGTTAACTAGCATAAATGCTAATATTACCATTGATGATACGTAAAGTACATTTTAAAAAATTTGTTGGTACAAATTATAGGAATTTTGAACATTAATAAATATTACAGAAATAATGTATCTAAGAAATTTTACTTTAAATACTTATTCATCATAAAAAAGTGAAAATAATATTAGTTGTGTTTTGTTGCTATCAATGAGTGTTAACGCTTAAAGTTAGCAACAAAACGAACATTACCTGACTTGGCATCACTCCACAGAAGAAATCTGCTAAATCTTGAAATTATTTACAATTTCTTGAAAAGGTTTTTTTTATTTGGTAATTTTCTTTGATTTAAATTTTATTTTAAAATATTTTTTTATTGTTTGACATAAACTCATTAATATTTGTATTTTTATTTTTGAATTGGTAGCACTTTTATCAACGTTAAAATTAACTTGTATAATTTTACACGTTAACTCCTAACGTTTATAAATTTTAAATTTATATGAAATTGCCTTTGAACGTTAGCAACAAAACACAACTATAGTATTTAAAAATACTATCCTTCACAGGTTTATAAGAAAACTCCGTTGTCCAATTCTTGATAACAAACTTGTGTACATTTGGCCCATTACTTGGTACTATTTACCAGTAAATGCCAACACATTTAAAAGTTAATCCAATTTAGCAATTTTTCCGGCTGCAAGTTGGTATTTCTTTTTAATTTTCGTGAATTTTTAATTGAAACAAAGTTAAAATTCAACAACTTAACCTTACGCCAGGAACGTAAGCTTATTAAAGCTTGAAAGGTTACAATTCCCGGCAAGTTATTTCGCAAGGATATAAACATAAAATGGATTCTAAATTGTTATCGTTATTTTCGGTACAAGGTAGATGTATTGATTTTAAATCCTATCAAAATGAATTTGAAACTATGCGTCTGCTTTTCGATCTTATGCCGGAGAAACCCAAAGAATTTGTACGTATCTTATCTCTCCAATGGTTGCAGACCATGGAAATAAATGAAAACGAGGAGTTTGCTTTAAAAGACAACGATGAAAAAATACAGGAATCAAAAGATTTACGGCAACAAGGTAATCGTCTCTTCACTGCCAAAGGGGAGCAACGTAATGTTTTGGGTGCTTGTCGTCTGTATAATGATGCCATCTATGCAGCATTGGATACAAAAGGTGATGAATTAGCCTTGGGATTTGCTAATCGTGCTACGGCTTTACAAACTTTCGGGTATTATCAGCAAGCTTACGATGATTGTGTCTGTGCCCTTAAGTTGGGTTATCCGGAGGCGCTGCGTCATAAAATCATAATACGTCAAACTTATTGTAGTTTAAAATTAAAAGATTTGTTAGCAGCTGAGAAGCATTTAAAAGAGTTGAGCACTTTAACCCTGAACGAAGGTTTCAACAAAGAACGCCGAGATCTAGAGAATGCCTTTGATGAACTTAAACAGGAAATGCTGGATAAACAGGATAATGTAAAGGATGAAAAAGAGGTGCAGCTTAATAGAGAAACTCAGGAAGTGTAAGTCAATATACTAAGTGGGAAGATAGGGTTCGAAAAATATGTATATACACAGATAAATAGATAGATACATAGATGTAGATAGATAGATAGATACATAGATGTAGATAGATAGATAGATAGATAGATAGATAGATAGATAGATAGATAGATAGATAGATAGATAGATAGATAGATAGATAGATAGATAGATAGATAGATAGATAGATAGATAGATAGATAGATACATAGATGTAGATAGATAGATAGATAGATAGATAGATAGATAGATAGATAGATAGATAGATAGATAGATAGATAGATAGATACATAGATGTAGATAGATAGATACATAGATGTAGATAGATAGATACATAGATGTAGATAGATAGATACATAGATGTAGATAGATAGATACATAGATGTAGATAGATAGATAGATACATAGATGTAGATAGATAGATAGATACATAGATGTAGATAGATAGATACATAGATGTAGATAGATACATAGATGTAGATAGATAGATAGATACATAGATGTAGATAGATAGATAGATACATAGATGTAGATAGATAGATAGATACATAGATGTAGATAGATAGATAGATAGATAGATACATAGATGTAGATAGATAGATACATAGATGTAGATAGATAGATAGATACATAGATGTAGATAGATAGATAGATAGATAGATAGATAGATAGATAGATAGATAGATAGATAGATAGATAGATAGTAGATAGATAGATAGATAGGATAGATAGATAGATAGATACATAGATGTAGATAGATAGATAGATAGATAGATAGATAGATAGATAGATAGATAGATAGATAGATAGATAGATAGATAGATAGATAGATAGATAGATAGATAGATACATAGATGTAGATAGATAGATACATAGATGTAGATAGATAGATAGATAGATAGATACATAGATGTAGATAGATAGATAGATAGATAGATAGATAGATAGATAGATAGATAGATAGATAGATAGATAGATAGATAGATAGATAGATAGATAGAGATAGATAGATAGATAGAGATAGATAGATAGATAGATAGATAGATAGATAGATAGATAGAGATAGATAGATAGATAGATAGATAGATAGATAGATAGATAGATAGATAGATAGATGTAGATAGATAGATAGATAGATAGATAGATATAGATAGATAGATAGATAGATAGATAGATAGATAGATAGATAGATAGATAGATAGATAGATAGATAGATAGAGATAGATAGATAGATAGATGTAGATAGATAGATGTAGATAGATAGATAGATAGATAGATAGATAGATAGATAGATAGATAGATAGATAGATAAATAGATAGATAGATAGATAGATAGATAGATAGATAGATAGATAGATAGATAGATAGATAGATAGATAGATAGATACATAGATAGATAGATAGATAGATAGATAGATAGATAGATAGATAGATAGATAGATAGATAGATAGATAGATAGACAGAGATAGATAGATAGATAGATAGATAGATAGATAGATAGATAGATAGATAGATAGATAGATAGATAGATAGATAGATAGATAGATAGATAGATAGATAGATAGATAGATAGATAGATAGATAGATAGATAGATAGATAGTAGATAGATAGATAGATAGATAGATAGATAGATAGATAGATAGATAGATAGATAGATAGATAGATAGATAGATAGATAGATAGATAGATAGATAGATAGATAGATAGATAGATAGATAGATAGATAGATAGATAGATAGATAGATAGATAGATAGATTAGATAGATAGATAGATAGATTAGAGATGGATAGATAGATAGATAGATAGATAGATAGATAGATAGATAGATAGATAGATATAGATAGATAGATAGATATTTACTTCTCCAAGCTACATTCCACCTAATAACATTCCCTTACAGCATCACCACAACAAAAGGTCGTCACATGCAAGCGAAATGTCTCATCGAAAAGAATCAACTAATATTCACCGAAAGAGCCTCTGCGTTCGTGGCCGTTGGAGACACGCGTCGTTTATGTCACCAATGCGGTACGGTTAATTTTATACCAATTCCTTGTTTACACTGCCGTGGTCGAGTAAATTATTGTTCACTCAAGTGCCAAGAGCAGCATAGCGTCATACACAAATACGAATGTCCTGCCTATCGATTTCAACTATTTGCTCATCTTGGTATTGCTCATTTAGCTTTAAGAATCGTGCTCGATAATGGTCTCTTCTCCATATTGGATGAATTAAAATTGCAGGATAAAAGCTCAACTTTAGAAGTATGGTCGGCTCTAACCGAAGGTGGTGATATATGGGCCAATAATAATATACCATATGCGGAGTCATTGCGCATGATAACACATTTGAATAAGGGAACAAATATGGATATAGAATGGTTCGCCTTAGTCTCGCATCATTTAGTGGTCTATCTCAAGCAATATACTAAATACTTTGAAGAGTTGAGTGCCCGAAATAAACTATTGATTGGGAATTATTAACAGGTTCTTTGATATTACTACATATCGGTCAGTGTATATCGAATGGTCACACTCTGACCACTATTATACCAAGGCCCTTAACTCTATTGACCACTACCGATTATCATTTGTTAAATGAAAATGTCTGGTTACGACCTTGGCATTTGAAATTGGGTTTTTA